TGTGACGTGACTTGCATTACTTTCATTTTATTATACACCAAATATATCATCCTTTTATAATTAAAAAAGTTTTTTTTCTCGTTTAGATGTATTACCTTACCACAATATTTCTTTTTTTTGTGACTTGCATTACTTTCATTTTATTATACACCAAATATATCATCCTTTTATAATTAAAAAAGTTTTTTTTCTCGTTTAGAATTAATGTATTACCACAATATTTCTTTTTTTTATTACTACGTTTTCTATCTTGATATCTTTCGAATGTGACATATTTAATAATGACAAATAAGATAATAAAAATAATTGATGAATTGATGTACATTAATCTCTCTTTGACTCTCATTGTTGTGTGAAATAAATAGTCGCATATAAGAGAAAGACAAAAAGAGAAAGAGAGAGAGAGAGAGAGAGAGAGAGAGAGAAAGAGAAAGAGAGAGAGAAATGGAATTAGATTAGAAATATAAGAAAGCGATGGAATTAAGGAGCATCGTTAAAAAAAAAAGATAAAAAAAGACGAGGAGAATTGTCTACGGGGCCAAATTTTGATCATATAAAAAGAATACATATTTTGTTTTATACAACTGACCTAATTTTCTTCTGATTGGACCATTTCATCGTGTTCGTCGCTCCATAGGTCATGTGCTCTTTTTTTTGGATGGCCTCCTTCTGGACGATTCGAATTGTTGCGACCCTTATTTCGATGTCTTTGTTTGGCCGTCCGCACAGCATCCCGCATATATGTTTGAAATGCAGCCCGCATTGGTTTCGCAAAATTTTTATTTTCGCAGATGGCATCTGCAAAACATTATAATTAAAATAGTGATATCATTTATATATAAATTTAATATTATATATAATAGTATCATACCGTAAATAGCTTTTACTAAGCGAGTATTATATAATGGCCGTTGGTTTTCCTCACGGCCAAACCAAGTGTAGGAGATCATCAGGGAATCTTGAAAAACTTCCTTCACACATAAACCAATGCTTTCCTTGGCATT